AATGGTTTTACATGTGGAGGCCACTGACATTTTTTTCCCTACTCATCTTTTCTGACTGTTTTTCACTAGTTTTGCATTTGGCTAGAGTCAGTGTCACTACTGGTAGCATGAGGCAATACCTGCACCCAGGACCGAATATAGACAGTCTGATGTAGGGGTGCAGAAAAAAATTTCGGGGGGGGGGGGGGGGGGGGGGGGATTGTCCTCTGCTCTGATAATCCGCTGTATACTGTCCTACACACAGGGGTCGTCAGGTCAGCAGTGCAGAGGACAGGAGTCTGTAGGGCATAAAACATTGGTCAGCAGAGAAGAGGACAAGGTCTCTGCTGGCAGAGCACTCAGCAGGTCTCCTCCTCCCTTCCCCACACTGCACACAGCCTGGGTTCTCACATCTCCTCCGCCCCGCACAGCACATAGCCAAGATCAGATTCCCTTACAGACACAGCATCCATTTGCACAGTGTTTAGCTCCTAGCGCACATTCTCCCAATCCCCCCCTCCTAGCGCACATTCTCCCAATCCCCCCCCCCTCCTAGCGCATATTCCCCCCCCCAATCCCCCCCTCCTAGCGCATATTCCCAATCCCCCCCCCTCCCCCCCCTCCTAGCGCATAATGCCCCCACTCCTAGCGCATAATGCCCCCAATCCCCCCCCTAGCACATATTCCCCCCCCCAAATTACCCCCCTCCTAGCGCATATTCCCCCCCGCCTAGCGCATATTCCCCCCAAATCCCCCCCTCCTAGCGCATATTCCCCCCCAATCCCCCCCTCCTATCGCATATTCCCCCCCAAATCCCCACCTCCTAGCGCATATTCCCCCCCAAATCCCCCCTCCCAGCGCATATTCCCCCCCAAATCCCCCCTCCCAGCGCATATTCCCCCCCAAATCCCCCCTCCCAGCGCATATTCCCCCCCCAAATCCCCCCTCCCAGCGCATATTCCCCCCCAAATCCCCCCTCCCAGCGCATATTCTCCCCCAAATCCCCCCTCCCAGCGCATATTCTCCCAATCCCCCCTCCCAGCGCATATCCCCCCAAACCTTCCTCCTTGCGCATATCCCCCCCCCCAATCCTTCCGCCTTCTGCATATCGCCCCCAATCCTTCCTCCTTGCGCATATCCCCCCCAATCCTTCCTCCTTGCGCATATCCCCCCCAATCCCTCCTCCTTGCGCATATCCCCCCCAATCCTTCCTCCTTGCGCATATCCCCCCCAATCCCTCCTCCTTGCACGATTCCCCCCTAATCGCTCCTCCTTGCACAAATTCCCCCCCCCAAACCCTCCTCCTTGCACAAATCCTCCCCAAACCCTCCTCCTTGCACATATCCCCCCCAAAACCCTCCTCCTTGCACATATCCCCCCCAATCCATACTTGCTCATATCCCCCCTAAGTCTTCCTCTTTGCACATATCCCCCCAAAGCACCCCTCCTAGCACATATTCACCTCCAAATCCCCCTCCTACCAAATATCCCTCCCCAGTGCAAATAGTCGCTAATCCCTCCACCTCTAATCTCAAAACACAATTTATTTACACCCATCCCTCTACACACAGGATCGCTAGTTTAATTACCTGCACACATTTCCTCCTGCCGGGACTTGGAGGAGGTAGGGTGCACATAATTAAACTGTGTGCAGTCCAAACGTGTGTGTATGTGTGTGTGTGTGCGTGTGTGTGTGTGTGTGTGTACAGCCTCTCTCCTGCCTACCACTGCCGCTGTCTGCCCTAAACTCAACACAGATTACTGCACCAGTCTGCGCACTCACTTCCTGGGCCGTCCCGAGTGTGGGCATGAGCAGTCTCAAGAGCATGGAGGAGATTCCAAGAGACAGGCAGTTACTCTAGGAAGAGCTGGACAGGGCCGTAAAATGTCCTTAACCCATCAGCAGGTCCGGTATCTGCTTCTTTGTGCAAGGAGGAACAGGATGAGCACTGCCAGAGCCCTACAAAATGACCTCCAGAACGCCACTGGTGTGAATGTTTCTAACCAATCAGAAACAGACTTCATGAGGGTGGCCTGAGGGCCCCACATCCTCTAGTGGGCCCTGTACTCACTGCCCGGCACCATAGAGCTCGATTGGCATTTGCCATTGAACACCAGAATTGGCAGGTCCACCACTGGTATCCTGTGCTTTTCACAGATGAAAGCAGGTTCACCCTGAGCTCATGTGACAGACGTGAAAGTCTGGAGACGTCGTGGAGAACAATATGCTGCCTGTAACATCGTTCAGCATAACGGTTTTGGTGATGGGTCAGTGATGGTCTGGGGAGGCATATCCATGGAGACCTCTACAGACGCATAGACCTCTACAGACTAAACAATGGCACCCTGACTGCCCTTAGGTATAGGAATGAAATCCTTGGACCCATTGTCAGACCTTACGCTGGTGCAGTGGGTCCTGGGTTCCTCCTGGTGCATAATGCCCAACCTCATGTGGTGAGAGTATGCAGGCAGTTCCAGGAGGATGAAGTAAATTATATCATTATATCGTGGAGCTCCGGTGGCCATCTTTACTTGGGGACGGTTAGTCCTGATCTCTGTATATCTTCTTTCCTATGGATGCATCTGTTTTTAACCCCTTAATAAATCGAATTTTTATACTTACTACACTATGGGCATTCTTTCATCTTGACTCCTTGGGGAGTATTAATCTTTCAGACGCCCAGCCCTATGTTATCCAGAGAGGGAGCCTCCAGTTTACCTTTGTGAGCTGCACCCACCTATCCCCTAAGGCAGGCATGTCCAAAGTCCGGCCCGCGGGCCATTTACGGCCCGGGGGTCGGTTTAATACGGCCCTCCAACAGCCCTCCCTGCTCTGTGTAATGTGGCCCTCCCTTCTATGGCAGACAGTCTTCTGCTTGAGAGCAGAGGGCAGTGCGCATGCCTGACTGCGGCGCATTCTCCCTGGTCTGTGTAAATGCGGCTGTCACACGGCCCTCCCTTCTGTGGCAGACAGTCTTCTGCTTGAGAGCAGTGCTCATGCGTGACTGCGCCGCGCTGGGAGCGACAGAGGGCGATGGCGTTAGGGCCGGGCTTCCAGCGTGAAGTGTGTTTCTCTTCCCCTCCCGGCTGCCGAGCAGAGACTTCAGCTCCAGCTACCTTTTTCACCCTTCACATTAGTGCAGGTAAGTTTTTTTTTTTAATTTATTTTCAATACATTGTGAAAACTCAGCTGTCAGTTGATCTTAATGTTATGAAATGAAAAGTATGTCGTTTGCAATTAACTTGGCATAAAATAATTTATTTGCATTTAATTGTAATGGTTCAAAGAATGTTCGGAAAAATGTTCGGCCCTCCACCATGTTCACTTCATCCAATCTGGCCCTCTTTGAAAAAGGTTTTGGACACCCCTGCCCTAAGGGGAACTCTGGACACACCTGGATCATCATTTAAAGCCCTGGGACCTATCCATCTTGAGAGGGAGCCACTTCCACTATTGACCCAGATGACTACCTCGATTCCACTACTGGCCCAGATGACTACCTTGATGACACCAGGATATATTATATAACGCGCAATGTAAATTAATTATTATCCAATTACCTATATGATTTTTTTGGGATTACCCATATTAAGTTTTGCACGTATTCGTTATTATCAAGCGTTGCACATTTATACTTTAAATTATACCATTGAATGGTCCCACGCTCGCCTGACCTAAATCCAATAGAACACCTCTGGGATATTAAGTTTCGGTCCATCCAACGCCACCAGGTTGTACCTAAGCCTGTCCAGGAGCTCATGGATGCTCGGAGAGGAAATACCCCAGGACGCCATCCATCATCTCATTAGGAGCATGCCTCGACATTGTCAGTCATGCATACAAGCACGTGGGGGCCATACAAACTACTGAGTACCATTTTGAATTGCTGCAATGAAATTTTTAGCAAAATGGACTAGCCTGCTGCATAATTTTTTTTTCACTTTTATTTTCGGGGTGTCTTTGATTTCAGTCTTCTGTAGGGTGATAATTTTAATTTCCATCAAACGATGGGGCATATAGATAGATATCCAGTATGATATTTTTCCCCATCGAGATCTGATGTGTTTTCAAAGTGTTCCTTTAGTTTTTTTTTGAGCAGAGTGTGTATATATATATATATATATATATATATATATATATATATATATAAAAAACGTGTGGTGGTTGTAAGTAATTTTCTAGCAAAAACCAGATTTTTACATGTATGTGAGGAGTGTCAGAATTGGCCCAGCAGGCAAGTGATAAACAGGCGGTGAGGAGGCAACAAGGTCTATTGCATGTAAGAACAAGTTCTCAGACTAAATGTTCAGTCTCCATACTGTGGCCCTTTGCTTGCTTTCATCTGGCCTTTGGGGCACTATTTCATCTACTGATACCAACAATTGGGTATAATTCCCCCCACTTACACCAATGAAGGGGGCACAACTCCTTCAAATGACACCAACTATGGGGCACAATTCCTACCAGTGACAAAAATGATAGGGTCCAATGACATCAATGATGGGGCACAATTCCTCCCAGTGACAAAAATGATAGGGTCCAATGACATCAATAATGGGGCACAATTCATTTGAGTGACACAAACAATAGGGTCCAGTGACATCAATGATGGGGCAGAATTCCTTCCAATAACACCAAACAATGGGGCATTATTTTTTTCCCATTGACAACGGGACCTTTTCTGCTCTCACTGGCTGCAGTCCGGCTCTCCGAAAGGTCTGAAGGGCAGTAAAACTGGTCCTTTGTTTAGAAAGTTTGGAGATCCCTGGTCTAAAGTATCATTCACACAGGCATATCTAACCACCTCCCGTCCGGCCGTTGTATATAAACGGCCGGACGGTGGCAGTGCAGGGGAGGGTGGCCATTTATAAACTGCCTCCCCGCCCCGATTGTGCACGCTCCCTGGAAGCACGCAGCACTGTGATCCGGTGCCCGCTGTGTCCTCCGGACACAATGGAACACCGATGGTCGTAAGGAACCACTGTGCGAGGTCCCGATCATGTGATCACTGATTGGCCACATGCTTACTACGTGTGAAATCTGTGAATGAGGTCACATGGTACAAGGCTATTCACAACAGCCTTGTACCATGTGACAAGCTGTGACCAATCCCAGCTCACACAGTATTTCTCAATGGCTGCAAGAATGCAGCTAGAGAGAAGGAGAAATTATTGCTTTTACAACCTTTATGGGTGTAAAAACAATCAGTGTAAAAAAAATCTTCATCACCCCCCACAAGTAGAACAGTGTCACCATGGTGATACTGTACTGCTAGGGTGACAGTATGTAAAAACAAAACCTAATAATAATATAAAAAATTTAAATAAAAATGTAAAAAAAAATGTTTACATTTTAATTTTTTGTTATAAACTAATTTTTTTTTTTTTTTTACTAAAAAGATAACTGAATACATTTTGGCCAAGATGTATAATGAAATATTATTTATTTGCAAAATTTTATAAGAAAAACTTTTTTTTCAAAAACGGACTTTTTCATTTATATAGCAAAAAAAAAAAAAAAAAATCCCAGTGGTGAATAAATACCACCAAAATAAAGTTTTATCTGTCTAAAAAAAATGCTAAAAAAAATTAATGGGTACAGTGTTGCATGTCCGCGCAATTGTCAGGACCCTGCATTCACTATATCTGGTCTCCCACAGTACACACAACATGGAAGTGCAATTATTTTAGTAAATATAAACTGCTAAATACCTATCCTGATCAGCAGTTAGAGCAGTCCTGTGACTTCTATCAGTGTCCAGCAGAACACTGGTTACAGCTTGTAGGTGTAGTTTTCATTCTCCTGTAAGAGGACGCAGGACCCCTGACCTCAGTCTGGACCTGTACTGATCACATGCACTCTCCCAGGAAAAAAAAAAAACTCTAGCAACACACACCAAACTGAGCATATGTATCTTGCCCCCCCCGAGCCTCTGTTCGATCAGGAGATATTTAAGAGACACTGGAAGAAGGGGAGGATCAGAGAAGACAGGATCAAACATCCTTTTTACATAATGTGGAGGATTAACCCCTTAGGTTCCACAGGGAATATCACATTTATTTATTACAGGTACTTATATAGCACCGCCAATTTACGCAGCGCTTCATATATATGTATTGTACATTCAAATCAGTCCCTAACCCTCAAGTGTACAATTTAAAGTCCCTAAATCACATTCATACATACTAGGGCCAATTTAGATAGGAGCCAATTAACCTACCAGCATGTCTTTGGAGTGTGTGAGGAAACCTGGGTACCTGGAGGAAACCAACACAGGCACAGGGAGAACATGCACACTCCAGGCAGGTGGTGTCGTAGTTGGGATTCAAACCCATGACCCTAGTGCTGCCAGGTGGAAGTGCTAACCATTTAGCCACTGTGCTGTGCTAACAAGCATGCTTTACTGCACCAACTGATTTGCCTGTTGTGGGTTTAGTAACACTGTAAGCATACACCCATGCAGGGGGATGCACAGGCGGTCCATGCATGAAATTCTGATGCAGGCAGTCTTGTTTATGTCATCTGAACCAAAGTGGCTGCACAAACAGATATCTATGTGGGTGCAGGTTAGGGTTGCCACCTCATCCCTTTAAAACCAAACACATATTAACCCCTTCACGCCAGCGCCTCCCAGCCCTTTAAGGGTTTCAGAAGCCGGGAGGAGGGGCAGGGTTTAGGGTCATGTGACCACCATGACATGCCATCACATGATCGGGAAAGGTCCCGACTGAAAAAGATTGGGACCTTTCCGTGAGTACCGGATATGTGTGCTGGGAGCGTGCGCGCTCTCAGCGCATATGTTCTTTTTTAATAGAACGCAAATGTGCGGCCGCTCGGAGTCTAGGCCCAGATGCCTGGAGGCTGCACATTTGCGTTTGGCCGGTGTGAAAAGGTTAAATACACAGGTTCTGGGGCTAATTTATTGCATATAAGGCACTCAGTAAGTTTAGCCACAGAACCTGTGTCATTAATATGTGTTCAGTTTTGAAGTGACAACCCTAACGCAGGTCCCTGAATCTACACCGTCTACGTTCACACACATCCACATGGATGTTAGATTGGCAGTGGTGGCCGTGCAGCTCAATTGACATGAATAGGACTTCCTGCACAGGGAAGCATGGAACACCTGTACATCCCACAAAGGCAAACACGGCAGTCACACGCGTGCAGGGGTAGACTGACAACTCATGGGGCCCCCTGGCAATAGGGGATCATGGGGCCCCTGTGTCCTTGCCCAAACTCAAAAAAGCCTATGAAAAAGGTACCAGGGGCATCTCATGGGGTCCCCTACTGACCCGGGGCCCTCGGGCAGTGCCCCAGTTTCCAAATAGTCAGTCCGCCCCTGTACACGTAAGTACGGCTGTGTGAAGGAGGCCTGTGACTGGTACTCTTTAATTAACCCTCTCCCTTCATTCATAGCTCAGCAGCACTTGCCCTCCTTTATGTCAGCATGCAGTTTATTAATAGAAGGAAAGTGAGGAGCCCTGAGCAGCCAGGATCCAGCCACTCTCCATTATCACACTGATTCTTCATAGAAAGGTGCAGGAGAAGAAGCCAGAGCGGCTCAGCTTACCATGCCTCTCCTCCATAGCCGGCACACTAGAGCAGCACAGCCTGTAGTAAGCAATGAGTGCACCCGCTACGACCACCACACAAGTGATATACACCCTGCGGTCACCACACCGCACTGGCTTCCTCATCCACATACATACAATACTCATCCACAGGAAGGAGGCGGGGGCAAAGCCAGCACAGCGTATCAAGACTCAGCATTGCAGGGGCCAATCATTGAGCTTCTTCCACTGATTCACAGCCCACGGCTGTGCTCGGCGACCTGCGTCCCCTAGTGGTCATAAATTAGATTGACTATTGGGCAGCATCAAGCAGCTCAGAGAATTCCTTTTGCAAAATGTCTGTGGAAAGCGACACTATAGGAAATGCAGACTTCTTGTTTGCAAAATTAACCACTTGCCCTCCAGAGAATTTACCTTCCTTCCTGACCAGGCCATTTTTTGCAATACAGCGCTGTGTTACTTTAACTGACAATTGTGTGGTCATGCAACGCTGCACATAAATGAAATGTATGTCCTTTTTTCCCACAAATAGAGCGTTTTTTCTGTGGTATTTTATCGCCTCTGCGGTTTTTATTTTTTGCGCTATAAAGAAAAAATTACCGACAATTTTGAGAAAAAATATTTTTTACTTTTTGCTGTTAGACATAACAAGTAATACAATTTTAAAAATCAAATTTTGTCACAAATGTAGGCCAAAATGTATTCTGCTACATGTCTTTGCTAAAACAAATCCCAATATGAGTAAATAAATTGGTTTACGTGAAAGTTATAGCATTTACAAATGGAGGTATAGAAACTGGAATTTTTTTGAATACTTTTAATGGCGGCAATCAGCGACTTATAGTGGGACTGAGGCGGGCATTCTGACACTGGGGGGAAACTAACTGTCACTGACATCCCCAGTGACACCAACACAGTGATCAGTGACAATAAAAAGCCCTGACACTGCGCTAATGACACTGGGAAGGAAGGGGTTAACATCTGGGGTGGTCAAAGGGTTAACTGTGTGTGTTTTACAGTGCAAGCACATTGCTTTGTATTGCTCTGTAATGCAGAGCAATAAAAAGCAGTGTGCAGGAGCTGACAGGGAGAGATCTGTATTGTTTACATACAGACCTCTCCCCCGTCAGTGATACTCAGCAATCGCCGGGTGCCGGTGGAGAATCGCTGGTCGGGACATGGTGATCGACAGCTGAAGCTGCCAGTGGCAGCTAGGGTAGGAAGCGCACTCGCAAGCAAGTGAAATGCATGCTCAATTGAGTTGAGATCAGGTGATTGACTCGGCCATTGCAGAATACAGTAATACCTCGGTTTACAAACGCCTCAGTTAATGTAATTTTTGGTTCACGAATGAAAATCCATTGAAAATGGCTCGGTTTACAAATTTATCACATTTTTTCACAATACGAAGTGTATGTCGGTGCCGATTTTTAAATGCAATTGCCGGCTTTTTTTTTTCTTCACTATAGCTCACAGAATTAGCTTGCATGTTCTCCCTGTGCCTGTGTGGGTTTCCTCTGGGTACTCCAGTTTCCTCCGACACTCCAAAGACATGCTGGTAGGTTAATTAGATCCTATCTAAATTGTCCCTAGTATGTGTATGTATGAATGTAAGTTAGGGACCTTAGATTGTACGCCCCTTGAGGGTTAGGGACTGATGTGAATGTACAATATATGTGTAAAGCGCTGTGTAAATTGACAGCACTATATAAGTACCTGAAATAAATAATACATTTTAAAAGAAGCGCTAATTACATTCAAAAACCGGCACCATAATAAATTAAAAAAGCTGTGTGGAGAGTCCCCCCTCCCATCCATACCAAGCCCTTGGGGTTTGGTATGGATTTTGAGGGGAACTCCCATGCCAATATTTTTTTAAAAAAATGGCGTGGGGGTCCCTCCAAAATCCAGACCAGACCCTTACCTGAGCATGCAGCCCGGCAGGTCAGGAAAGGGGTGGGGGGGGGAATGAGCGAGCGCGTCCCCCCCCCCCCCCTCCTGAACCATACCAGGCCACATGCCCTCAACCTGGGGGGGTGCTTTGGTGCAGGGGGGCTTCCCCCCAAAGCACCTTGTTGCCATGTTGATGGGGACAAGAGCCTCTTCCCCATAACCCTGGCCAGTGGTTGTGGGGGTCTGCGGGCAGGGGGCTTACTGGAATCTGGAAGCCCTCTTTAACAAGGGAGCCCCCAGATCCTGCCCCCCCTTGTGAGTATGGGGTACTTGGTACCCCTACTCATTCACAAAAATGCAGTAGATCCAACGTCAATCACGATGCCCGCCTTCACCGCCGCTGACCCAGAAAAAGAATTAAAAAAAGGTTCTGCTTCCAGCCGTATGCCTGCTCCGGTGGTTTGACAGTTGTTAAACATGTAAGGGGCGGGGACACCCGGAGACATCACGCATGTGACCCCCACCCCATGTCACATCAATGATGCCACCTAGGGTGGGTCACTCGGGTGATGTCCTTGGGTAGCCCCGCCCCTTACATATATCAGAATTTTCAAGCCACTTCAAAAGCAGACAGCTGGAAGCCCTCGTCGGAAGCAGAGCCTTTTTTTTTATTCTTTTTTTCGGGTCAGCAGCAGCGGCGGTGATTGACATTGGATCTACTGCGGGAGGGGGGGTATTCTTTTAGGTTTT